GTTTTGACCGGTAAAGGAAATGGATTAAGACACGGATGTTGTTACATTTCGAATAAAGAAAAATCGGCAAATAATTACGCGTGTAGATACCTACCTATATTAATTTATGCGAGCGCGTGCTCGTGTGAAATCAAATCGACACTTTTGCACATATACTCGTCACATTACCACTAATTTTAGATTTCGTGGTTGAGATTATCGTTTATGCACGTCGATCATAAACACAATCAACCCGAATTTCACGGGACTTAGAGACCGTTCTAATGAAATCTGCTACAATCGCCCATTATAGATAGATTGTGCCGTGAATTAATATATTTACAAAAATGGGCATTAACTACCTACCTAGTTAAGGTTTTTTAAAAAACTTTTTAACCTAACTAGTTAATTAGTTTTATGATCAGCTTGAAACTCAACTAGTTTCGTTAATTGTCGAAATAACTTGGATTTTTTCAATTGATTTAAAATGAAGCCATCGAGTTAAGACTAAAAACTTATAATTTTTCATATTAACTTTAACATTAACAATTTATATTAAATATAAAAAAATATATTTTATTATTTATTAACTAATGACTTCTGACTTAATGATTTTGTGTTCAAGTATAACTTAACTCAAGTTAATTATTATCATGAACTCGCCCGCCATTGCATATTATTATATAGTGCACCTACATGGCTACGGCCTACGGGCTACCTAAATATACCTGCAGCCATCATTACGTATTGCGTAAAAAAGAATAAAATGTACTCGGGAGCAATAATAAATTAATAAAAGCGCTCTTTGTGATTCTTAGCTAACTCATTATAAATTAGCAGTGATTGCAGTACAGTTCAGCCGCAACCTTCTAACCCACTCCGCCAGTCGAAACACAAAAGTTTGGTGTAACGTAGTAGCCTAAATAATATAATGGTGTACGTCGTACAACCACACTACACTCGAGTATACATATCGGCCATTATGGACTGAGAAACCATAATAATGTTTGGCATTTTGTGCAGGTGAATATTATTAAATCGACGGAGTCAACGATCTAATAATACTATACGAATCGAACAGGAGATAATAATATTTTCCTTTTACTTTTATCAATCAAACAATTACTGCAGCTGCAGAGTACACACGTGTATTCCCCTTTCATGTCCTTTCTCTCAGTTTGGGTAGTATTGCGAAGCTTCTCTCTTTGCGCGTTTTCGCGAGAATCTCAAAAACTCCAACTATATTATACTCGTTCAGACGCACAAAGATTTCTCACGCGGTGACTTCACGTCCACGTCCGCAATACGGTACATGGGTGTTAAAAGTCCCGTTCTGATATGAAATTGAAATCCCACGTAACTTAAAGTCACACGAGCGCGCGTTCGTCTTGTCTTACAATATGTTATAATATCATGTTGTATTGAGTTATGTTTCGCCGAGTCAAAATGCATAAAATTCTACGGACAATTTCTTGGTTTTGTGCGGTGTTTTTCCGTCTGAATAAATAACTGCCGCCGTACATTTTCACACCGCGGCGCCTGCGCCTTCGCACTACAGAGTTATGAAAAATACCGATAAAATATTATTATACATTATATTATATACCATTTTTTTTTTCATCATACATAACATACGTCTTTTTTTCTATTTCGTTATTCATGGTCGTGATCCGACCGAAGAGGGAACGCCCACATGTATTACGGCATTATAATAAACACACGGGCATATACACGAATATTAAACATATATCTCGCGGACAGATACCGGTGGACTGCACTTGGGGACGAAGAGAATGGACCGAGCTTCTTGCAATAGTATAATATAGTGGGCGAACGCGCTAAAAAACTGGTTCCAGATCGCCTTCATGTAGACAACAATTCACTCGCTCCATCCGTCCCGCAGATTCCGTGAAAATGTTAAGTTTGAGAAACACTGAGCTGAATAAGTGTTGACGGAAAAATAAAATACCCAATAATAACCGCAGACGAACAACAGCTGTGGCTATTATAATATAATACACTTCCAACGATACAGTTTAAATTTCACAACTCTTATTCCGCGTATATTATACCTACGTGATATTATGGCATACGATTGAGAATCCTTAACATGTAATAACTCTGAAGTCACGGCATGCCGGCATAGCACTTAGACTTTTAACAACACTCGCCGACTGCAGTCTATACAGTTACTGCGATAATTATTTGATATAGTATAATATGATATATATATATATATCGGCATGTACAGTTATAAATTTTTATTATTTTATGGGAGGCACTTGAAAGAAACTGCAGATTGGAATTATTTTCTCAATCGGTTTCCAATAAAACTTTTTTTTTCGTCGAGATCAGTTATAACTTGTGCACTTTCATTACTATATTATCGTAAAGTAACTTCCACGCAATTTAGAATTCTGAAAACGAGTTTTGTTTTTAGATTGGTCGAATAATTTAAGCCTTCATATTATATATGTGTATATTTAATATACAATGTTATGTGTACCTAAATTTGTTTATTTTTTTCAATTTTATCGTGCTGTAAACAGCTGTTTACATGAATAAAAATATTTTTGACAGTTTAAGAAAACATTATTACAGGTATCTATATATTATAGATTTATAATTTTCATCTTTGTACATAGGATTGGAATGTAACACCTCGTCCTACGCAGTGAATCAATATAATTTATTTATATATACGTTTAACACGTACAAACACATCTATATTGACGCTAAATACGTAATCAATATCAAATTTTGAAGTAATTCAGCTTCATTTTTCACACATTCGTATGCAAAAATTGTATTTATTTGTAATAAGCCACTTTTTAAATTTCTCATATTTTATCATCATACAATTATTTATAAACGATTTTACGTTGCATTATAGCCATTTAAAAATATTTAACCTTTTCACTACTATTATCGCTTAAAATATTAAATGCATTACGTTCGTCGGTGTACGCATAATTATGAATTACGATGCATCCAATCATACTTAATACATCGGATATAATGACCTACCAAACAAATTTAATACCTGACAAAATTGCTTAACACACTTTGTACGAATAGAAATTATTATTAAGATAAGTCCAAATCGTTTATCTACCTATATGAGTATATACTCTAAGAAAATAGATGTTAAATCATCAAACATAATAATTAAAATTAAATATATAGAAAAAAACTGTTTGAATTATAAAAAGAAATTTACTATATATTATTATAGTTGGCAACTTTAATACATAGGAAAATAACTATCTATCTAATTAATTTTCTTTTCCCAAATAATCTTTATATTTTATAATTACCAAACTTTTGTACATATTTAAGTATTAATAAACAATAGTAAATACATTCTCAAAAACCTTAGTCAGTATAAAAACAATATATTTATGAGGACATCCTCATAATCTAATAACAAATAATTTTCAACTTATATGTTTAGATTATGAAAAATTATTTTTCGTTTTTTTTTGAATTTTTTGATTTTTTATAATCCCGCGTTTAAATCTTGATACTTGTTTTTCTTATTTACACTTAATATACAGATACCTACTACAATACTACGTTTAGTAATTACTAATTAGTAATGTATTAATCAATATATGTATTTTAAAACAATGCAAAATTATATGGTCGTTTGTCTCCGTCTCTGTCCCTCTCTCTTTTTCTCTTCTTCTCTCTAAACGCCTACGTGAAAACCAACTGTAGCTGAATAAATAAATTATTCTCATATGGTGGGTCGACGACAGTATTTTATCGAAACGATTAAGGTTCCTATACTTCCTCTATGCGTATACATATATTACAAACATATGAAATATAGAAATGTATAATGGCGAAACTCGTGTTAATAACTTTGAGTGCATTGACTCATCGCGCATGTACACAAAATACATATACGGTCATTGAAGGCCGCGATTGATGACATTTCTAATCCCAATTACAAATTTGATTTTTTCTTTCGCGTTGGAATATTTAGGTAATACCAATAATTGCGGTAGATACTCGGAAATCCTGAGTTTACTCAATAATATACACCTAATAATATTAATGTAAATGAGTCGAAACAAACAATATTTAAGCTATCGTGACTTTACAGAGTTGAGTGTTCAAGAAATCTGGACACACAACGTCCGTATATACTTGGACTACGTCAAGTCTTGAAGTGAACAATTTATAACTTGATAAATGATAATATTGCATAACACATATTTAGGTATATAATATACGAGTAGTAAATTCTGTAGGAATTTATTACATTTATCAATACTTTTTTTTATATACCTGTACGCCGTATACTATATACCAGGCACAAAATATAATATGTGGTCTGACCTTGAACTCAATGTGGTTTGCACCTCCTACTTCCAGGCAATCATCGTACTTGGGGATAAAGAGTTCAGGGATCTCCCCGTCTCCGTAATAAAATATAAATCAAAATACGGCCGCTAACAACAATATAATTTGAACATATATAGGTAGGCCTATCATTCTATCGTATTCCTATACTATATAATATCATTCAACATATTGTGGGGGATATTATTATAATTTCACAGTTTTGTTTGTAATTACCCCTTGGCTTACAAATAACACGCCTTGGGCGGGACCCATATTTCTTACATATATGTGGTCGGAGGTACACACATAAATATACAGTCACGGGCGTCGTATAGACTATATACGTAGTCGTCATAACGAACAGTAGCTTTGTTCGGGACCTGTAACATATTATATTCATGACTCGTACCTCTGTTATAGGTATCGAAATAAAATATTACGAAGACTATAAATTTAATTGATTCTATATTAAACGACGTTCAAACGAAAAAAATATCATGACCACATATTATTATATTGTGTGTGCGGTGATCAAAACCATATAAAACTATTACAATATTTGAACTACACAAAAACCGTTACAAAAATTATTATTTAATCTAGTACATTTTATGACCACCGTAATGTCGTAATTGTACAGGTTTTGTGCGTTTTAGCGAATCTCTTACCTTGCTATATTTGGTCGTTGGTCCACCAAGCGCGCCGGTCAATATATAATATCTTTATTTTTCGTTTCTCGAACAAAACTCTATGTATCCAAGTTTCACGCACACACAAACACACCACGTATTGTTTTATCGCATTTGCAAATACACATTATATTATTATTACATATACGGACACCTCTTAGACACTTGAGCGGGCGGTCGCTAAAATACAAAAACAAAAAACGATCGCAGACTAGGGGGAACTCGACGAGAGAGACTTGGAGGAACGAACGAAAAAACCCGTAAAAAAACGTAAGCGGGCGTGAGTCCTTATGGTCGTCTCGCGGTACAAACAACCCGGTATACTCGGGTAAATATTAAACGGTTTTATCGCGACCAGTAACCACTAGTAACCGCGCATTACGGGCTTAAGACGGACGTGTGCGCGCACGCGGACGGACGAACGGACGGACACGAATATGTCTGCGGTACTGACTGCAGTCGGTGACGGAGAGAGCTCGGCGCGCCACTCACCTTACCTCTCCTCTCGTTCTGTGTTCACCTGTCCGGTTTTCTACGCCAATGAACTAGACACGTAATAATATTAAGCAGATACACACAACGGCCGTCGTATACCAGTAATGTCGGCGACGGAATATAATAATAATAATAATAATAATAGTAATGGTACCTAGTAGTATAGTAGTAGTAACTATAGTAAGAAGAAGAAGTAGTAATTACCGATACATGTGCCCGGAGTTCGCAGCCGGGGTTCAACGGTTCGTAAATCGTAATGCCATCGACGTTACACAGAAATCATATTAGTTTGTATACATATATTTTTTATATATATATATTAGTTTAATGCAACGCGCAGTCACACGAAAGGATTAAGTATCGATATTAATTATTGTTATTATAATTACAATACCAATGCGTTTTAATCATTTGATTTTAATTAGGTACAGCGTTTAGTGTGTAAACCAAACTTGGCGAACAAACGCAAATCGCTATAGATTTGTGACGCCTCGATGGATTTTCGTAAGCACGCGGTTTTCGAATGGTTTTCCAGATATCCCAACCAGAAATATCAGTATAATTGATTTACAAATAAAACCTACTCTTGTCCAATCAATAATATAATTAAATGTATATTGCACTGTGGTAATGATGTAGCTATCGAAAAGAAATGGTATCTATTTTAAATCACCAAAATCTAGTTTTACTAAAATGAATTTAATATAAAACATATCGATTTCCTAGTACCTACTTTTCAAAATAATCAGGAAAAACAAAAAATGGGTTGGAAGTGAGTGCTCTAATGTACGGTAGGTGTCAAGTGTACCTCGTCAATAGTCACTGAGTATAGGTCACTTTAATGGATAGGTACTATAAGTTTGAATGCAGCAATAAATCTTTGTAGGTACGAATTATACGGTACGATGAAAAACGATTCTAAGAGTAAACTGCATGTTAGCAAATATTTTCAAGGATATTTTATTTTATATTTATACTGCTATTAAAACAAATCACACATTATATTATAGTTTATAATTTTATTTCATAAAATATAACTAGTTAGTACATCATTTTTATTTTATATGGTTACCAAAAAGCAGAAATTACTATTTTGTTTTCCCAGATTTTTTTAAAAAGTAATGTAAAATTTATATTTCAATCCCTTAGACTACAAACTAAATCAAATTTACTATCAGAAACCTCCCTAGAAGTTGACGATCGGAGCATTTTTTTCTAATTGAAAAAGTCACAAAAAACCACACACATCATTGTAAAACCAATACATTCATCGCTCCACTCAGAATCTGAAATTATACTTTCAAATAATTTCATCAAGACATAATTTTCCTTTTTTTATAACTACGTATTATGTATACGTACAATCACTAAAACCACAGTAGATTGATTTATATGTTATACCTACACTGTTTAATAGTTGTTATACCAATATTATGTGTAGTTAAAGTCTTTCATAAAAAAAAAAAAAACATTTTTATAACAGGTGTATACTTATATAAAGTACTCCAAAGATCGTTCGAATCGATTTGAACAGCATACTTTTTAATATTACTCAAACTGAATAATTAAAACAAAAAAATGGTACTTGTTGAATTTTTGAAAACTAAAAAAATATTGACCTTAATTAATAATCATGATTATTAAAGATACATTAATTATACATTTACATTTTTCCATAAAAATGATTCAATTATAATAATTACTATGAAAAAAAATATATAAAGATTTGCATTCGGTTTTAAGGAGTCATATAATATTTTAAACATATAACTTCAAACGTAAATTACTGTATAATAAATTGTAGAACTCGATTTCATCGAACACATTTGAATAAAAACTCGATTTTTCCCAGCTGCACAGAAAAACATTGAATTATTTTTTACGATTTTGGTGGCTGTAGTGTTTTGTGGCACATTTTTAGGATTCAATATATTTTTCGGCGTATACGATTTATTGGGTAACGCAAAATCAGTCAGCAAAATACTATTTATTTGCTTGTTAATGTTTAGTTGCCATTTAAACTGAAATATGCTACGTTAAATTGTTAAGAAAATTATCAATATAATCAACATAACGATTTATCGATAAAACTAATTATGATATTAATCGATATAAATATTATATTTTTTATTTTTTATTTATGTTTTTGCGTATGCAACTTACATAGCAACTGTAACGGTTAGAATTTTTTTTTCATATTCAGCAGCAAAACAAGTTAAAACAAGTTATATACAACAAATAAATAACAAAATCTTAGCAAATTAAAATTGGTAAATTTCTCTGTACTTAATAATTGTTCTCTAAATAATCAAAATAGATTTTTTATACAAATTATTATTATTATCATTATACCTACTAAAATAAAAATGTAAAAATGTATAATATTATGCATAGGTATTAGAATTTGCTTCTTTCCCTCCGTTTTCTGGAAAACTATAATGAAAAATTCCAAAAATGACCTATACTTACATTTTTACCTAATATCTGCATTCTTTTAATCGACTGATTAGCTAGGCCCATATTTTATAATACACTATCCCATATAACACACTTTACTACAAAACAAACACTATTCATACTTCACATATGACACATCACTTAAGAATTGACATAATCAGTAATATAACGATATTCCATACTTATGGTATTTCACTACGGACGCTTACACAAATTATTATAAACGGTCATCTGCTGATATTTTATTATTTTTACCCAATAATATAGTCTTAAAAAACTAAACATCATTATTTATCACAATAACAAGCATTAAAAATATTATTATGATACTTAAATATATAATTATATGTTTATTTTTATTAAAATGTCAATCTAATCCATTAGTGCTACATTTAATTACGTCGCAAAATATTGTACATACCCACATAAAATATTATATTGTAAGACCTTCGGGTTGAATATTATATTGAGCAAGTTCGAATCGAAATTAATTAAAAATTGAAAACCGCAAACGTTCGGGTTGAACACGTAAAAAATATCCGTGGTATATACCTATACCTATTACGCCTATTATATTATATATTATGCCCAACCATAGATCTAGTCCGACCTGGTTTTAAAATGAAACAGGTCTCCGGGGTACGAAAACAGAGAACACGACAATATTTATTTTTACGATCATACTTTATGTTTGCCGTGATATATTCGTAGGAGTATAAAATATAATTGTTTAGGTAATTAACGCTGGCGGGCTTAATACTGTTTTTTTACGTCCACCTCAACGACTCGCACGATTGTATTTATTATATATTATTTAGACATCAAGTTTTCTTCTTTTCCATTTGAAATAATCAAAATATTATACAAATCTTTTGATTGTGCATGATGGTGTCTCACATGTTTTTTCTTTTGTTTAGATAGGTATCAAGAACACACAATACAACAAACAATCATCAATTAAAATAAAATAATATCATACGTATATACTGCAGGCCAACTTCATTTATTATATATCTAACACGTCTTATTATAGTGCGTTTTAAACTTGAATATTATTCTGCACCGTATCTATTCACCTCAACTGCCCAATGGCATTGGAAATATTATGTAGAATTAACAATTAATATCAAATATGGTTTTCATTTAATTTCATATGTACCGAACAGAATTCTATTATACTTTGCACTAACGGAAATTCAAATATAACGATCAAAATTAATATAATACAACTTTTTTGATCGATGGTTCTTCATACGCGAATCCCATTAAGAATAATCTTTTTAGCTACACCTACGGATCCCCCCGAGTTTACGAGGAGTGAAAAAATATCATTCATTAACACTGGTGTATTCTCCCAAAAATTACATCTATATTTACTATTTATTTTAAGTAGGTACCTACTAGGAGCTAGTATTTATGTTGATTTATTTCAATAACTAAACTGTCCACGTGTTTCAATTTTCAATAACAGTTGAAAGTTTTAATTACTCAACAATGTGTACTTGTATCACACATTTTTTTTTTCCATTACAAATTAGGTGTACAAAAGTATCGAAATTATGATATAAATTACATAATTCAGTTATTCGGATAACGGATGTCGTGCATATTACGTGTGTAGACCATTATAAAAAAAAATGTATAGCCATCATCGTGACGATCATGCTTCCTCACATACATAATATGTGTGCTGTGTGCACGACCAGAGAGACGATAACGTCGCAAGCCACTAGCCAGTCGCTGGGTGTGGACCATTGGTAAGAACATGGCATTTTAGATAGTTTTCAAGCAACAGTAGTAGTTTCGAGCTACAGTTTGACGTTAAAATGTGTCAATTCAATTTTAACTATGACGCAATAATTATTAAAACAATAAGTAAGTACCTAAGCATACATCTTAAATCTAAATAATTTTAAAATCAAGAGCTATTAATTGTATTATCATATTGTTGATTCACCTCTATTATAAATGTATAGGTATTACATTTTTTTTCCAGCGCTATCAATAATATCCGAGGAATTTCATAAATCAACAACGTTGATCATATTTTGGGACAAAAGTCAAAATGATGTATGAATAAATACCAGCTTCATTAAGTGCCTGCTAACTTTTGTATAATATATAAAATGTAACCTAACAATAATAAAAGTATATTAATTCTATTCAGCTACAACCGATCTTGAGGAAAATCAAAACTGTAAAGTATTCAATTTAAAACGCTTTCGATATAAGAGTAAGTACCTACACGATGTTTTATATTTTAAATACCAAAATATCCTGTGGATTATTGTGTGATAAAATTATTTTCTCCTATAGCCCGCAGCAGTTAAATCGATGACGATCGTACAACACATTCAACAATTTTTCACGCATTCTCTCCCCCCGATGCTAAACATGAGTCCATCGTGTATGGATATAATATTATAATGTGTATCGTAACATAAATACGAAAAAGAATTGTTTTTTTCTAAGACATCAAATATTATTATGTACGCTTAATTAATATTCAAATGCATCCCG